TTTTAATTAAATCTTTATATAAAACAATACATGAAAGAAATGTAGGCTATCTTTAAATGGGTAGAACTGGTGTAGCCTATTTAGTTTCTGAATTGTGATCAAGTAGTTGCTGTTCATTGTAAATATTTAATAATATTTGGCATAAAAGGAATTCAATCTCTTGACCAGTAATCAGCTAAATAATGTCTGTCTAGGTGAAAGCCTGACAGCTAGTGGTTGTCTCTGTGTACACGCATGTACAGTATGTATGATGCCAGGAAAAAAGTCAGTCTTGGAATATGTACAACAGGGCCATCTGCTGGTTCATAAAATGTACATAAAGACAATAGGCATACTGTACTGGAAGACATTTGACTAAAACCTGTTCCTTAAGCAACACCAGGTGACAGAAGTTTTCTTTTCTTTTTTTATAGATAAATAAATGTCCAAAAATAAATAAATTAATTAGCAAACAAAACATAAACTAAGCCATTTGCAGAGAACGAGCTCCTCAATTCTCAATCCAACCGAACAGAGCCATAAAATCTGGACTCCAAATCTCATTACATGTTTAATTACCACATACAACTAAAAATAGCCATACAAATCATCCAAAGGCTTGTCTGTTTAAACTGTGTAGACTAAATATTTTCATTTATGCTTTGAAAAATATTTCAAAATTGTATTGTTTTTGCTGTACTTTGGCTCAAATAAATGCAGGCTTGGTGAGCAGAAGAGAGACTTCTTTAAAAAAACATCAAAAATCATACTGTTCAAAAACTTTTGACTGGTAGTTTATTTAACAATTAAAATATGTAATAAAAATGTGTCTATATGCCTACTTACTTTTACAAATAATATATATTAAACGTTTATATTATTTTTACAAACAAATCTAAATGAACATATTTCAAATTATATTCTTTGCTGAGATTTGAGAAATTTCAATGTGTATTCTACGCAATGACGCAGTTTTGTGTCATGGTTAAATAATGACATCATCATCCAATGATGATTCACAACGTCATTTAGCAAGAAAACGACCGACCTGCCTTTAGCAACTTTACTTGACAATAAGCTGGCAACACTGATTAGATGGAACTAGGCTTTTAAAGTTTGAATTTCTGCAACATCATTTTAGAACTTTTTTCAAATTACCAACACTACTTTTCTTTAATTCTGCAAGCTTATTTCATGACGCAGGACTCTGAGCAAAGTCATTTCTCACAATTATGTTTTTAGGTTGCTTTGGAACCAGATGCTTTTTTTCGAAATTCTTCTGAATTTATACTGAAATTGAAAGACACGGCAACTTAACTTGTCATTTGGGCCAAACACAAGTTTCATTTCCCCATATTTTCTACCACGGCTTTATTGGCATGCCCTCAAAGACACTTCCTGATATTCAACAGGTCAAGATATTTTCATGAAACTTTACTCTGAAATAATGAGGTATATTTTTTATACTTTTCTAAGAACAGCATCTCACACACCCTGCTAAAAACTAGTTTAATGCCTCAGATGCAATCAGTTCAGAATGATTTCATATATTCAACTGAAATTCTCCCAGATGTAGCCGTCTTTATCTTTTATTACTTTCGGAAGAGAGGGGCGGGGTCAGCAGAGCTCATTAACATTTAAAGGAAAATGCTACAAAAACGGCTTGATCTGAAAAAAGCTGTTTTTGACCGGGTAAAAAAGATGTTTTTTACACTACCATTGAGACATTTTAACCAGACTATGTTACAGACTTTTCATTAAGACCCCAAAGAATCATATCAACTTGTGGAAAATGGGCATCCTATGACCCCTTTAAGAATTATGTAAGTTAAAATGGCATTTGGGAACTTTATGATGTTATTTTTGCACAATAAAGAGTTGTATTTTAGGCCTCAAAAGTAAACCTTATGAAATAAGAGCCAATTGGAAATAATATACTACTCGTAGTACCTCAGCCAGTAAAATGAAGTGGTGAAATTGATAATCTGATGTCAATTTTATTTTTTTAAAAATTTTTTACGTATAAAACGGAAATATGGAAGTGACTTATTAACTATAGCAATAGCAATAACTATTATGCTTTATTGGTAAAAAAGCACTTTAATCGTTTGAATTTGTGTCAGATGTTTAGGCCAAAAATTACACTAATTTTATTTTTGGTCCAGAAAGCTTATAGTGGTCCATTTTAATTAAAAATATTTTTTTTCAAATATTTTATGTAGGTTCTTCTATTTTTTTTGTTGTGATTTTTATTATATTTACTTTTTATTCTGGATATATTTAAGAAAATATAAGCAAATAAGCAGTTTTTGTACATTATTTAACCAAAAAAAACAAAGATACAATTTCAGTCCTGTTTCATCAAAAACCAACAGATGGCCTTGGAATTGAGTCACTGAATGTCTCTGATGCCATCTGGTGGGGAAAAATTACATAAAATTGTATTTTATGGTTACAGCCACTAGAGGGGCCTATAGAACCCTATGGAGATTTTTAACTGAGCAAAACAAGTGAAACATGAGAAATGAGATAATCTTAAGGCTTCAATTTGGTTGTTTATGGATCAGATTTTGTATATAAAAAAAAATCTAATGTAATGAAAAATGCAGTTTTCTCGTAAATTCCATTAATTCCTATGCGGGTCAAAATGACACTTTTGTTACTTTTTTTATTGCACCCATTTAAACTCCTCAAATCCACTCAAAAATTGTTGTGTGTATTCCCGGTGCAAGTGTGACAAAAGCAAAGAAATCTTGGACCGGTACGATCAACACACGATTTTTAGAATTTTTTTGAAAATTGTTTTTTTGGGTCAAAATGACCCGAGGGACGGATGAATAGATTATAACATAGGCTAAGTTTAAGCTAATATTAAGTGATGTACATTTTAGACACAATATTGTCAGTATCGACCGTTTTTGCTCCAAACAGAGTTACAAGCAGGATGTTATCTCCGGTCAACACAGTGTTGTTTCGTTCTTGAATGATTCAGCCTTTTTTTTTTTTTATGAATCGCCTCATTGATTCAGTGACCCATTCATAAGGAAGAGTCACTTGCTTTGTTTCTGATTGAATCAGCCATTAAATCGATTGAACAAATCAATCAATCAATGAGTCAGTGACTTGTACCCACCTACTGTGGCTTAAAGTATAATTTCATTTTTTCCAACATTTCTATATTTCTATCTTCTGTATATTTTGTTTCTAAAACATTAATCTTATAGCATTATTTATGCAGTTGTAAACTGGGCATGTCTATTGCCAGTTCAGATGCAGATTTTGAGCCACCTCTACAATGCAGAGATGGATTTTGTCTGATTTCATTTGATTGGTAGCAGCACTATAATGTAAGTAAGTTTTTTTCTCTTTTTTTCCAGCAACACGAGGTCTCTCAGTACTGAGTGTTGATATGCGTGCGATGGACAACAAGAAAGCGCACAACACCAGCAGGTACAAGAACACCAGTCTCATTGTGCGCAGGAATAAAGAATTCATCCTCATCATCAGGTTTGACCGACCCTTCAATAACCAGCAGGAAAATGTGCAGATAGAGTTCATGATTGGTGAGCAGATCTTTCAAAATATCTAATTTACATTTACATTACATTTATCCAAAGTAACTTACAAATGATAACAATAAAAACAATCAAAGCAACAAAAGAGCAACAATATATAAGTGTTGTGACAAGTCCTGGATAGTCTAACGCAGTACACGTAGCAGTTTTCTTTTTAATAATTAATAAATAAAAAGAACAAAAAGTGAATGGAAAAGAAATAGAATAGATAGAGCTAGTGTTAGAGGGTCAAGTTACTATATATTTTTAAATAATAAATAAAAAGAAAACAAGTAGATAGAATAGAAATAGAATAGAGAATGCTAGTGTTAGAGGGTCAAGATTTTTATAATAAATGAAAAGAAAATAAGTAGATAGAATAGAAATAGAATAGAGAATGCAAGTTTTAGAGGGCCAAGGTTTGTATAATAAATAAAAAGAAAACAAGTATATAGAATAGAAATAGAATAGAGAGTTCTGGGGTTAAGGGGTCAGGTTATTATTTTTCATAATAAAAATAAAGAAAACAAGTAGTGAGAATTGAAATAGAATAGAGAATGCAAGTGTTAAATGGTCAAGTTTTTTATAATGAATAAAAAGAAAACAAGTAGATATAATAGAAATAGAATAGAGATTGCTAGTGTTAGAGGGTCAAGTTTTTATTAAAAAAGAAAAAGAAAAAAGTAAATAGAATAGAAATACAATAGACAGTCCAAGTGTTAGAGGGTCAAGTCTTTTGCAATAAATAAAAAAGAAAACAAGTAGATAGAATAGAAATACAATAGAGATTGCCAGTGTTAGAGGGTCAAGTTTTTTTATAATAAATAAAATGAAAACAAGTAGATAGAATAGAAATAGAATAAATAGAGCTTGTGATATAGGGTCAAGTTTTTATAATAAATAAAAAGAAAACAAGTAGATAGAATAGAAATAGAATAAATAGAGCTTGTGATATAGGGTCAAGTTTTTATAATAAATAAAAAGAAAACAAGTAGATAGAATAGAAATAGAATAAATAGAGCTTGTGATATAGGGTCAAGTTTTTATAATAAATAAAAAGAAAACAAGTAGATAGAATAGAAATAGAATAGATAAAAAATATATATATAGGGTAAGCATGGCATGTATGTGGTGGCCGGGGATGGGACTTTGGGACATGTGCCCCACTACACCTCTCCTTGATGGCCCGTCGTAGGGTGACATGGGCGGGGGCCCAACTTATGCTGTGCTCATGGAGGGCCCAGAGGCAGCCTTAAAATATCTAGCTATTTATAGCTTTATTGCTATTATTATTATTATTATTATTATTATTGCTACTACTATTACTTATCACCTTCCTCATCCTCCATCCTCTGATGTTTGTTATTAATGCTATTGTTATCATCATTATTACTATTGTCATCATTACTATTACTATTACGGTTTTCTACTATTGTTATGTCTGTTGTACTTTTCTACATGTTCCTTTGTTTATATACTTCCACCCCTCACACCCAGTCACACACACAAACACACACACATACGCACACACACACACACACACACACACATACGCACACACACACACACAAACACACACACACACACACACACACACACACACACACAC